CATTAGGGAGAGCTCAAGCATTGACTGAATAATTTGTTGAAACTGCCGCCACTTTGGTCCAGTGTTATCAACACACTAGGGGTGCATCTCAATTGTATTTCCTTGATTCCTCGCCTCCTTTCTCCTTGTCTTCTTCTCAATACGTATCGGAGGAGGTCTGAGGTTTCTCCACTCAGGCCATCTCCTCCCACACATTTTGACAGAAGGCGAGGAGAGAGGACACAATGAATCAAGGAAATACAATTGAGATTCACCCTATATAGGTTTTACCCCAATGGCTTCGGCTGGATCTGTACATTCTGATCTAGCCTAGAGGTTCATTTGGTCTTCTGGGTTAAAGCTGGCTTAGTTTCCATTGTGGAATAACAATCCCCTCTGAATTGTAAGGAGTGGATCTGGAGAAGGCTGCTTTGAATTTGGTTTATCCCTCCATACAAACACAAAAAGCAGCTATATTTAGAATGACGAACGGTTCACATTGAAGCTTGAGTTTTGGCCCAATTGTACATTGCTCCACACGAGAACTCAACATCACTAGTCTAATGACCATCCAAGTTATGCGGCTCCACTTTTAAAAAAAATCTGTTCCTATTGTCTGAAATTGATTGGCTTGAAAGTATGGAAGAGGAAGAATACTTTATTGGAATGGCATATCTGACAAAATGTACTATATTATGGACAGTCGTGGTCAAAAGTTTTGAGAATGACACAAGTATTGGTCTTCACAAAGTTTGCTGCTTCAGTGTTTTTAGATATTTTTGTCAGATGTTACTATGGTATACTGAAGTATAATTACAAGCATTCCATAAGTGTCAAAGGCTTTTATTGACAATTACATTAAGTTTATGCAAAGAGTCAATATTTGCAGTGTTGACCCTTCTTTTTCAAGACCTCTGCAATCCGCCCTGGCATACTGTCAATTAACTTCTGGGCCACATCCTGGCTGATGGCAGCCCATTCTTGCATAATCAATGCTTGGAGTTTGTCAGAATTTGTGGGTTTTTATTTGTCCACCCGCCTCTTGAGGATTGACCACAAGTTCTCAATGGGATTAAGGTCTGGGGAGTTTCCTGGCCATGGACCCAAAATGTTGATGTTTTGTTCTCCGAGCCACTTAGTTATCACTTTTGCCTTATGGCAAGGTGCTCCATCATGGTGGAAAAGGCATTGTTCGTCACCAAACTGTTCTTTGATGGTTGGGAGAAGTTGCTCTCGGAGGATGTGTTGGTACCATTCTTTATTCATGGCTGTGTTCTTAGGTAATATTGTGAGTGAGCCCACTCCCTTGGCTGAGAAGCAACCCCACACATGAATGGTCTCAGGATGCTTTAAAGTTGGCATGACACAGGACTGATGGTAGCACTCACCTTGTCTTCTCCGGACAAGCTTTTTCCCGGATGCCCCAAACAGTCGGAAAGGGGATTCATCAGAGAAAATGACTTTACCCCAGTCCTCAGCAGTCCAATCCCTGTACCTTTTGCAGAATATCAGTCTGTCCCTGATGTTTTTCCTGGAGAGAAGTGGCTTCCTCGCTGCCCTTCTTGACACCAGGCCATCCTCCAAAAGTCTTTGCCTCACTGTGCGTGCAGATGCACTCACACCTGCCTGCTGCCATTCCTGAGCAAGCTCTGCACTGGTGGTGCCCCGATCCCGCAGCTGAATCAACTTTAGGAGATGGTCCTGGTGCTTGCTGGACTTTCTTGGGCGCCCTGAAGCCTTCTTCACAACAATTGAACCTCTCTCCTTGAAGTTCTTGATGATCCGATAAATGGTTGATTTAGGTGCAATCTTACTAGCAGCAATATCCTTGCCTGTGAAGCCCTTTTTGTGCAAAGCAATGATGACGGCACGTGTTTCCTTGCAGGTAACCATGGTTAACAGAGGAAGAACAATGATTTCAAGCACCACCCTCCTTTTAAAGCTTCCAGTCTTCCAGTTATTCTAACTCAATCAGCATGACAGAGTGATCTCCAGCCTTGTCCTCGTCAACACTCTCACCTGTGTTAACGAGAGAATCACTAACATGATGTCAGCTGGTCTTTTGTGGCAGGGCTGAAATGCAGTGGAAATGATTTTTGGGGATTAAGTTCATTTTCATGGCAAAGAGGGACTTTGCAATTAATTGCAATTAATCTGATCACTCTTCATAACATTCTGGAGTATATACAAATTACCATCATAAAAACTGAGACAGCAGACTTTGTGAAAATGTATATTTGTGTCATTCTCAAAACTTTTGAGAATAGTCTGGGTGGTTGGAGCCCTGATTGCTGATTGGCTGACACCTGTGGTATATCAGACCGTATACCACGGGTATGACAAAAACATTTATTTTTACTGCTCTTATTACTTTGTAACCAGTTTATAATAGCAATAAGGCACCTCTGGGGTTTGTGGTGTATGGCCAATATACCACAGCTAAGGGTTGTATCCATGCACTCTGCATTGCATAGTGCCTAAGAATAGCCCTTAGCAGTGGTATATTGGCCATTTATACAACAGGTGAGTCTAATCCTGAATACTGATTGATTAAAACCGCATTCCAGCCGGTGTCTATTCCACAAGTTACCACCGGCAAAATCTATGACATTAAAATGCCTATTTACTCTGTTCCATCTGACTGCGCAAACTACTGTCTCATCAGCCCAGCCAAGCAATTTATAAACTTGATCTCCACTATAAAAAGCATCTAGACATTATCTCACATTTCTTTTAGACTAACATTTAGTTTTAAACAGCGGGATTTGTATAAACCTTGCTGTCTGTCTCTCCGAAATGTGCAACATTGTTTCAATATTCAATTTCGATCTCCAGCTGTCCCATAGTAATGTGTCGGGAGTCGGGACGAGACGGACAGACAGGCAGCGTTTCTCAGCCAGTCGAAATCATGAATCAGATGGCATCATTTTTATGGATATATACAAATAAATGTCAATAGAAAAAAGGTAAAATGAAACGAAGTGCAGCTAGTTTGCAGTATTTCCAGCTTCAGTTTGAAGTGATTGTGCTAGCTGTGTTGTTGGCTAACTCCTCTGAAGAACAGTGTCCTGACCAGTGAGCAGATTTTCTATGCCAGGCGAAATCGTGCCTCATTAGCTCATTGTTATGGATGTATCCAAATAAATGTCACTAGAAAACAGCTTAAACAAATGCAGCTAGTTTGCTGTTATTCTGGCTGCACTTTTTGACGTGACTGTAAGTTAGCCATAGTTGGCTAGCTAGTAAGCAAGGGATAAGAACGTTGCCTGCCAGTATGGCAATGGAACATTTAGAACAAACAACTGGGTCGCATCCATAGATACAGAACAAAAAGACTGAACGACTGGGTCGCGTCTCTGGCAACCGAACCGATAGAACGAACGACCAGCCGGCTTGGGTAGCAACCCTAGATTTGTGTCGGGACTAGTATGAATAAATTCAGCAAAATAACATTTTTAATGAAAATATGTCAATCATTATTTGAATATGTTGGTAACGCGTTGTAGAAAAGTGATAATGCCCTCGAAGCCCATTTTATAATGAAGCAAAAATGTCTGAGACAGGGTGGGATTTAAGTGAAAAAATCCCCTCGAAGCCGGTGTTTGGAGGATATATTGGCACGGTTTACCGGCCCTCGACTTCGTCTCGGCCCTAACAACACCCATGACAATATATCCTCCAAACACCGGCTTCTCTGGCATTATCACTTAAATACCACACCATCTCAGGCCTTATTTCTTCATTATAAAATGGGGTGTTTGGATCCTGGATGCTGATGGTTGATATGCGGGAGTTGTGGGACAACAACTGTCCTGCAGCCCAGGCAGGAAATTCATAAACTGAATCTCCCTCTGGAAAAAACTTCAGAATGCAAAAACAAATGTACTCCTTAAAATAACAAGTCTGTTTGTTTGGTTACCACAGCAACTACTGTAGCTAGCTAGTAAACTTGCTAGCTACTTTAGTGGATGTTGAATACATTTCTACCGGAAAATGAACACGTTTCTAGTGGCAAATGTGCTAAATTATAGCCTTGGTATAAGCGCATCGTGGAACACACCTTCCATGTAATTTATTATTTTCAATTGAACGCATAACCCATCGTTGATTATCCCTTACATAATTCCCGGGTTCTCAGGCATTATTGCTTAAATATTAGATGCTATAAAACATAATCTACAAGAAATCTGATGACAGATAATGATGGAGCAATTAGAGGTTATGATTTCATTAACAGCGAGGCTGTTTTTAGATTGACCCGTGATAAGATATAATGGTAATTCATTTATAATATTAATCCCATGCTTGAGTTGTTTAATTAAATTGAGATGAAATGAGAGTCATGATTGTGTGTTGGGATACTTCAACCATCTATTTGAAAGGAGTTAATGGAAGTGTCAGATTCTGTGTTTCTACAGTTGATCTAGTTGTCCTTCTCTGTCTCTCTCTCTCTTTTCTGTTTTTTCTGTGTCTCTATTCTATCCGGTCTCTCTCTCCATCCTGTCTGTCTCTCTCTCTTTCTCTTTCTCTCTCTCTCTCTCTCTCTCTCTCTCTCTCTCTCTCTCTCTCTCTCTCTCTCTCTCTCTCTCTCTCTCTCTCTCTCTCTCTCTCTCTCTCTCCCTATCTTCGGCAGGATCACAATATACATTGCCCAATATTTTGGCAAAAAGAGTTCCAAGTCAATAATTTGATACAATTGTTAGGATACATTCAATATCAATCTATGTCCATTGTAACTGTCATCTCTCTCTCTCTCTCTCTCTCTCTCTCTCTCTCTCTCTCTCTCTCTCTCTCTCTCTCTCTCTCTCTCTCTCTCTCTCTCTCTCTCTCTGTGTCTCTCTCTCTCTCTCTCTCTGTGTCTCTTTCTCCCCCCCCTCCCCCGTTTCCCCTCCCTCACAGATCTACATCCTCCCCCAGGCGGCCATTTTTAAGATGGAGGGTCTGGAGGGGGCCGAGGCAGAGGCGGCCATGCTGAACAACATGCGTGTGTACGGCACTATTGTGCTCAGTTTCATGGCCACGGTGGTGTTCGTGGGGGTCAAGTACGTCAACAAGCTGGCCCTGCTTTTTCTGGCCTGCGTCATACTCTCCATCCTGGCCGTGTATGCCGGAGTCATCAAGACAGCCATCGAACCGCCTGACTTCCCGTAAGGACCCCTACTGTTCAATTAGCCTGCTCCCAGTTCTGTTTGTGTCATCTTGTCAAGTCCTATGGTCATTGTCACATGAGAATGTGGGACCAAGCTACTCTTCAATATTGGGGCTGAGCCGAACTTGAGCAATGTGGGTGCGATGTGAATTAGGTTTGATGTAATTCGCCCATATGGGGAATTTGGGTTTTGAGACTTTTGTTGCAATGTAATTTGAGCATGTTCACCCATTTTTTAAGATGATTTGAAGTATATTCAAAATATATAGAAATGATGTTCAATGCACATAAGCAGATGGGTTAAATACAAATGGAACATATTCATCTTGTGTTACATTTTCAGTAGGGAGGACTCTTCTGTTCAATATGGGGACTGATACCCACAGATTTGTGCTAGCTCTCAAAGCCAATGCGTAGGCTTCGGCTCAGGTGGCTAACTCAGTCTAAAGTAATCTGTATGGACAACTGGGGTTCGATTCCCGGTCGTCACACTAACACACGTAGTGTGTATCATATGTTGTTCTTGTCGATAACTCTTCTGTACTTTGTCATGTATTTGTATGTTTTATGTGGACCCCAGGAAGAGTAGCTGCTCCATGTGCAGTAGCTAATGGGGATCCTAATAAACTAAACTAAAACACTAACAAATCTCCCCTGCTGCGCAGAGTCTGTATGCTGGGGAATCGCCCGCTGATCTCCAAAGGGTTCGATGTGTGCGCCAAAACACTGGAGAGTGGCAACGGCACAGTCACCACCAAGCTGTGGAAGATCTTCTGCAATACTCCCTTCCTCAACTCCACCTGTGATGAGTACTTTGACAACAACAACGTGTCCTTCATCCAAGGCATCCCTGGGGTCATGAGCGGCATCCTCAAAGGTAACCAAATACAGTTAACTATTGGTCTTCTTCTGGCTCAGTAGGTAGAGCATGGCACTGGCAATGCCAGGATTGTGGGCTCTATTCCTGCCAGGGTCACCCATACATAAAATGTTTGCATGCATGTATGAAATTCACTTTGAATAAAAGTGTTTGCTAAAAGGCTAATGTTATGTTATTATATTATTATTAATGCTATTATTTTGTGGCTATCTACTTTTTCTTTTCAAACACAGTTACACCTACAGCACAAATACTGTAACATGCACTGTTCTGGTCCACCTACACTCAGGTCACTGTACCTACAGTACACATGCTTGCACACACACATGCTGGAAACACACCCGCGTGCTCTTGCGGGAAGCATACTGCAATTTCTTACTGGAAGTGTCAGATTCTGTGTTTCACAGTGATCTAGTGGTCCTTCTCGTCTCTCTCTTCTTTCTGTTTTCTGTGTCTCTATGTCTATCGGGTTCTCTTCAATCATGTCTTATTTCTTTCTTTCTTCTTTTTCTTTCTTTTGCGGGTGGTGAGGGAGGCGGCGGGGGGATGGGCGGCGGGGAGGAGGGGGGCGGGGGGAGTCGTGCGAGGGCGGGCGGGTGGGAGTCGAGTCTGCTCGTCCTTTCTGCCGTAGCGGAGCGATCGATCGCTGCTGCTGACTCCATCTGCGCTCTCTTATCGTTTCTCTCATCTCTCTCTCGTCTTCGTCTAACAACCCCCTTCTTACCATTAAATTGCCCTTTCTCTCCTTCTACCTCTTTCTCTCTATTTACTTGTCCCTCAACCCTCTCTCGCTCCAACTTCTCCCTCTTCCTCCCTTCCATGCCCCCCCCCCCCCCCCCCCCCCCCCCCCCCCCACCACAGAGAACCTATTTGGGAATTACCTGGAGAAGGGCGATCTGGTGACCAAGATTGGGGTTGCGACCGTGGAGGGCCCAGATGAAACTCTGACCAACTCTAACCGCTACGTCCTGGCCGACATCACCAGCTTCTTCACCCTTCTGGTCGGCATCTACTTCCCCTCCGTCACAGGTCAGCTGAGAGGAAGGGATAATGCAAAGAGGAAGAGACACTGAGCTGAAACTCATTCCTCGCATCCTCAAAGGGTGAATTCACCAAGGGTGAATCTCGAGGAAAAGATAGGACGCAAGGGATCGAGGGAAAATACTCACCCTTTGTGTTGTTTTGTGTGGTAATTTTTTATCTAGAGGGGGGATAGGGGAGATGTGTGTCAATTCATTGAACATTTTTAAGATACTGTCAAAGATTAATATGAAGACATGATTGTTTTTACACAAAAAGCAGTTTGTCATTAGAAGGATAATTTTGCTGTATTTTTCAGTTATGGTAATTTGACAAAGAAAAGTAGGTTTTAAATCTACATACACACGCTATTGTGTGAGTTTCTAAGAATACCATTTGATTATCTGAGTTTTCTTATAGACCTCTGCCTGTGTTTTGAAGAAAATTCTCAGACTGAAACTTTGACACAGCAAATGTGCGGAGGTTATTGTGTGAGCAGGAGTTTTTCTACAGTGACCACTCTACTTGTGTTTCACAGGGATCATGGCTGGATCCAACCGGTCTGGAGATCTGCGTGACGCACAAAAGTCCATCCCCATCGGCACTATCATGGCCATCACCACTACCTCAATAGTGTGTATCCTTTTACTGCTCCCCCTTCTGGACTCAGTGGCTAGTGCATTACTTTTAACTGTCGCTCACATGCTGTCTATCAATAGTAAAATAACTATTTTATACAAACCTTTTTTATTTTACTTTTCAACATAAAAACATATATTAGGTTTGATTGAATTGGGCCTTTAGCCTCAAGCTTGTTATGTGTAGAATGATAACTCCATGACTGCAATTTTAAATCAACCATGTTGTTCTTTATCTCAAAGTAACTGTTACAGAACGAAGTAATTAATCATGTACCACAATACATCAGACATAACCCAACAATAACAGCACTGTCGAACTGTGTGCTTATGTAACTCTCAATCTGCAGACATAACAGAGATAAGTGAGGATATGTCCCTATGTGCTAGGTATTTTTGTGTGTCTGTCTGTTTTCCTTAATGTGACCTTAAAGACATGTCCGCTGTGGTCCTGTTCGGTGCCTGTATCGATGGAGTGGTACTAAGGGACAAGTAAGTTATGCATAATAAGCAAAGATTTCTGCAATTGTTTCAATATCTCTCAGTCAAGCTTTACCAGTGCTGAGGTACTCGATGCCTGGTTCATATTCAACTGAAAATGTTTTTAAATGTTGTGCAACGGAAAACAAAAATTAGCACATTTACTACAGTTGTAGTCCAGGTAGTCCCTCCCTTTTTTAGTCAGTTTTCTTCGGTTTGGTGTCTAATCAATAGGACCCTGGTAATTGGCTCTCCTCCTACCTTTCTTCATGTCTGATTGGCTTGGTGTCATGTCCATCTCCCTCAGGTTTGGAGAGGGAGTCAATGGCAACCTGGTCATTGGCACCTTGGCCTGGCCATCCCCGTGGGTGATTGTAATTGGCTCATTCTTCTCCACCTGTGGGGCGGGGCTTCAGAGCTTGACGGGCGCCCCGCGTCTCATGCAGGCCATCTCCAGGGACGGTGTCGTGCCCATCCTACGGGTCAGTCTCAGTCATTCTGTCAACATTCTAGCATTTTGCACTGATCTGGGACCATTTGTTTTCATCATTCTGTCAGCGTTCAGCAATTAGCACTGATCTGGGCACATTTGTTGTGATCTATCTGTCAGCATTCAGCAATTAGCACTAATCTGGGTACATTTGTTATGATTATTCTGTCAGCATTCAGCATTAAGCCTGATCTGGGACAATTTGTTATGTTGGTTTGTCAACATGTCTCATATCGGTCTCAGGTGACATTGGACACCACACTTGCCTGCCCTCTCTCACTAATTATTTCTTTCACATGTAATGTAATGTTCACATGTAATGTTTTGATGGTTGGTGTATCTGTGTACACTCATGTTAATCCTCAGGTCCCAGGCAAGGGTCAGGTCTTACGTGTGCGTGGTTCACCGAAACACCTCTGTTACATCTACATACAACCTGCCTTGAAATAATGGAATAACTACTGTATGTTGTAACTCTATACCCTCTAACATCTCAGTGTGATGATGTGTCCGCCAGGTGTTTGGCCATGGGAAGGCCAACGGGGAGCCCACCTGGGCCCTGCTTCTGACCGCCTGTATCTGTGAGATCGGGATCCTCATCGCCTCCTTGGATGCAGTGGCCCCCATCCTCTCCATGTGAGTGTCAATGAGCGGGACCAGGAGTTGTTCCCCACCACAGGACCTGGCCAGAGAAAAACTCTGGATCCTAGTTACAGCCTATAACTAGGGCCCAGAGCTTTTCTGGTCAGGTCACATGGCCAGATAAAACTCCTGGCCCTATTTATGAGTGCTGAGGTGCACTCATCCTGTACTAATATGGACTGTCTAATATGGACACTGTAAATATGACATATACTTCTGACAATGGACAAATTAGTTCTCAGCACTTAAGATAAAGTTAAACACATACACTGAACAAAAATATAAAAGCAACATGCAACAATTTAAAAGATTTTACTGAGTTATAGTCAGTATCTGGTGTGACCACGATTTGCCTCATGCAGCGCGACACATCTCCTTCACATAGAGTTGATCAGGCTGTTGATTGTGGCCTGTGGAATATTGTCCCACTCCTCTTCAATGGCTGTGTGAAGTTGCTGGATATTGGCGGCAACTGGATAATGCTGTCGTACACGTTGATCCAGAGCATCCCAAACATGCTCAATGGGTGACATGTCTGGTGAGTATGCAGACCATGGAAGAACTGGGACATTTTCAGCTTCCAGGAATTTTGTACAGATCCTTGCGACATGTGGCCATGCATTATCATGCTGAAACATGACGTGATGGTGGCAGATGAATTGCACTACAATGGGCCTCAGGATCTCGTCAAGGTATCTCTGTGCATTCAAATTGCCATCAATAAAATGCAATTGTGTTCGTTGTCCGTAGCTTATGCCTGCCCATACCATAACTCCACCGCCACCATGGGGCACTCTGTTCACAACGTTGACATCAGCAAACCGCTTGATGATGTCTGCCAGGTGAGCATTTGCCCACTGAAGTCGGTTATGACGCCGAACTACAGTCAGTTCAAGACCCTGGTGAGGACGACGAGCATGAAGATGTGCTTCCCTGAGACGGTTTTTGATAGTTTGTGCAGAAATTCGTTGGTTGTGCAAACCCACAGTTTCATCAGCTGTCCGGGTGGCTGGTCTCAGACGATCCCCCAGGTGAAGAAGCTGGATGTGGAGGTCCTGGGCTGGCGTGGTTTCACATGGTCTGAGGTTTTGAGGCCGGTTGGACGTACTGCCAAAATCTCTAAACAACGTTGGTAGAGAAATGAACATTTAATTCTCTGGCAACAGCTCTGGTGGACATTCCTGCAGTCAGCATGCCAATTGCACACTCCCTCAAAACTTGAGACATCTGTGGCATTGTGTTGTGTGACAAAACTGCACATTTTAGAGTGGCCTGTGTAATGGTCATGCTGTTTAATCAGCTTCTTGATATGCCACACCTGTCAGTTGGATGGATTATCTTGGCAAAGGAGAAATGCTCACTAACAGTATAGCTAGAAGACTCCTGATAAGTATAATTTTTGTCTTTATCTGTTTTCTAGTACTGTCTTTTCGCTAGCTAGGGCGATCTATTTTAAGTGCTGCCTGTCTTCCCAGTACCTTACTTGGTGTGTGAACTGCTGATTGCTCATAACTTGCAGATGATTGTTGACACATCAACCAGGGTCAAAGGGCAGGGCAATTTGGGACTTGTTTTAGTGGCTGTATTGGAGGGGGAGTGGTTTCACCTCTTTTAACCAGCTTCTCAGGCTCCATCTCAGTGTGCTTTTTTTTTTTCTATAGCTAGAGGACTCCTGATATCTCCAGGAGTGATAAGGGTCCTGCTTTAAATTACGTTCAGCTTATAAAGGCTTCATAAAGCCTTCATAAGAACTACATACATGTGTTACAAAGCATCTATAACAGTAGGTCATGCTTTATAAAGGGTTCATAAATCTGGCATAACTGTGTGACATAATCACCAATGTCAAATGTGACATAACCCACTATGTCGAATATGATATAAACATGTGTTTTATAAAGGGTGACATGTTGTGCTGAAAGATGGCACACGCTCTAAAGTGAAGTCATGTTAGTCACACTACACCTAATCTCGGTCCCAGACACTTCTTCCCAAATGCATGGACGGTCTTGTGGACCAACGCATAAAACTTGGCCTTCAAAAGTTATGGTTAGGTTTAAAATCTAAATGGTGAAGCGTGATTCATCACTCCAGAGAGCGCGTTTCCACTTCTCCAGAGTCCAATGGCGCTGAGCTTTACACCACTCCAGCCGACGCTTGGCATTGCGCATGGTGATCTTAGGCTTGTGTACAGCTGCTCGGCCATGGAAACCCATTTCATGAAGCTCCCGACGAACAGTTCTTGTGTTGACGTTGCTTCCAGAGGCAGTTTGGAACTTGGTAGTGAGTGTTGCAACCGAAGACAGACAATTTTTACATGCTACGCACTTCAGCACTCGGCAGTCCCGTTCTGTGAGCTTGTGTGGCCTACCACTTCGCGGCTGAGCCGTTGTTGCTCCTAGATGTTTCCACTTCACAATAACAGCACTTACAGTTGACCGGGGCAGCTCTAGCAGGGCAGATATTTTACTAACTGACTTGTTGGAAAGGCGGCATCCTGTGACGGTGCCACGTTGAAAGTCACAGAGCTCTTCAGTAATGCCATTCTACTGCCAATGTTTGTCTGTGGAGATTCCATGGCTGTGTGCTTGATTTTATACACCTGTCAGCAACGGGTGTGGCTGAAATAGCCGAATCCACTAATTTGAATGGGTGTCTATATACTTTTGTATATATAGTGTACTTTACTCAGTAAGGTCACTCCCATAGAATTCTATGATCACTCCTACTAAGGCCAACTTTGAATGGTTGATATCCCAGGCTTATACAGTGGGGGAAAAAAGTATTTAGTCAGCCACCAATTGTGCAAGTTCTCCCACTTAAAAAGATGAGAGAGGCCTGTAATTTTCATCATAGGTACACGTCAACTATGACAGACAAATTGAGAAAAAGAAATCCAGAAAATCACATTGTAGGATTTTTAATGAATTTATTTGCAAATGATGGTGGAAAATAAGTATTTGGTCACCTACAAACAAGCAAGATTTCTGGCTCTCACAGACCTGTAACTTCTTCTTTAAGAGGCTCCTCTGTCCTCCACTCGTTACCTGTATTAATCGCACCTGTTTGAACTGTTATCAGTTTAAATTATTAAATAAGACACCTGTCCACAACCTCAAACAGTCACACTCCAAACTCCACTATGGCCAAGACCAAAGAGCTGTCAAAGGACACCAGAAACAAAATTGTAGACCTGCACCAGGCTGGGAAGACTGAATCTGCAATAGGTAAGCAGCTTGGTTTGAAGAAATCAACTGTGGGAGCAATTATTAGGAAATGGAAGACATACAAGACCACTGATAATCTCCCTCGATCTGGGGCTCCACGCAAGATCTCACCCCGTGGGGTAAAAATGATCACAAGAACGGTGAGCAAAAATCCCAGAACCACACGGGGGGACCTAGTGAATGACCTGCAGAGAGCTGGGACCAAAGTAACAAAGCCTACCATCAGTAACACACTACGCCGCCAGGGACTCAAATCCTGCAGTGCCAGACGTGTCCCCCTGCTTAAGCCAGTACATGTCCAGGCCCGTCTGAAGTTTGCTAGAGTGCATTTGGATGATCCAGAAGAGGATTGGGAGAATGTCATATGGTCAGATGAAACCAAAATATAACTTTTTGGCAAAAACTCAACTCGTCGTGTTTGGACGACAAAGAATGCTGAGTTGCATCCAAAGAACAACATACCTACTGTGAAGCATGGGGGTGGAAACATCATGCTTTGGGGCTGTTTTTCTGCAAAGGGACCAGGACGACTGATCCGTGTAAAGGAAAGAATGAATGGGGCCATGTATCGTGAGATTTTGAGTGAAAACCTCCTTCCATCAGCAAGGGCATTGAAGATGAAATATGGCTGGGTCTTTCAGCATGACAATGATCCCAAATACACCGCCCGGGCAACGAAGGAGTGGCTTCGTAAGAAGCATTTCAAGGTCCTGGAGTGGCCTAGCCAGTCTCCAGATCTCAACCCCATAGAAAATCTTTGGAGGGAGTTGAAAGTCCGTGTTGCCCAGCGACAGCCCCAAAACATCACTGCTCTAGAGGAGATCTGCATGGAGGAATGGGCCAAAATACCAGCAACAGTGTGTGAAAACCTTGTGAAGACTTACAGAAAACGTTTGACCTGTGTCATTGCCAACAAAGGGTATATAACAAAGTATTGAGAAACTTTTGTTATTGACCAAATACTTATTTTCCACCATCATTTGCAAATTAATTCATAAAAAATCCTACAATGTGATTTTCTTGAGAAAAAAAATTACAGGCCTCTCTCATCTTTTTAAATGGGAGAACTTGCACAATTGGTGGCTCACTAAATACTTTTTTTCCCCACTGTACGTGCTGTAATAGCAATAGTCTGGGGACGACGTTACGCCAAGAAACACTTACTTTGAGAAGGAAATTGAAAGTGACTTTCTTCTGGGAGCAAGTTACATGTTCCTCAGTACACAAACACACACACAACAATATAACAAGCCATACCGTGCAGTGCTGGGCCGCTCGCCCGCCTTTCTCCCTTTGGGAGGGTGATCAAAGACGGCCCGAAAGAGGCGAGCGAACTCTCCATAGTTGGCTCCTCCTTCACTCCAGACCGCGTTGGCCCACTCCAGGGCTTTGGCCGAGAGGCAGGAGACGAGGGCGGACACCTTCTCCCGCTCCCTCGGTCAGGAAAGGTGAATCCCTCTGGGTGCTGAGGTGTGGGTGGCTGGATCCGGTAGCTCAGCTGGTCCTGAAGGGTCGGGTCCTCTCCCCTCCAGCTGTTGGACGACCTGGAGAACCCGATCCATCGCTTCGAATGCTCCCGGACCCGGTCCACGGAATGGTTTAATCAATAAACAGAGTTATGCAGCAAAGCGTAATACACACCAGTGCGGACAAACGGCACACTGGGGAAAATAAGGCACACGGGTGAACAACCCAGCGAGACACAATATAATCGAGCTCCACCGAGCTATAATCCCCTCTACAATAAACAAACACACACACAAAGACCAGGGGGCAGAGGGAACACTTATACATGTATTGATGAGGGGATATGAACCAGGTGTGTGTAATAAACATGACAAAACAAATGGAATGAAGATATGAGGAGCGGCAGTGGCTAGAAGGCCGGTGACGACGAACGCCGAAGCCTGCCCGAACAAGGAGAGGCAGCTTCGGAGGAAGTCGTGACACTAACTCAGCACTTAACTATTACAAACTAATTTAAATTACAATTAATAAAGGTTAACTTACTTGTTTTTTGCTGTCCAGTTGCACCACAAGTGGGCATTTGATTTGCAAACTCATCACATGTACCCTTACTGCTCTACAGAAACACAGCTAATGAAACAACAGTGCAGGACATGCACACTGAATTAAAAGGCAACTACACAAAAAAAGAATAATGTGTAACAAATTTCCCAGACCTCAAACGTTGTCCACTGATGTGGTTTAACCATTGTTGTGAACACAGAAAATCTAATTGTATTGTTTTTCTATAAAAAAAAGTGTGGAAAAAAGTGTGGGGAAACCAGATTTTGGGGTGGGGGGAATCTGAAACCTGGAAAAACAAAACCGAGAAACAGAATTTGGGAAAAAATCTTTACCGATTTTACAAGGCCCTACCAACGTTTTTTGCTGATTGCACTTTAGAGAGTGTGTCATCCTGCAGCACAGCATTTTGGGGAAATTTGAGGTCAGGTCCAACATTCGCTATGCAACCAAGAGGGAAAGAGGTTGGGCCATCCTAGAAATGTTTTAGAGTAATATAATATAATATATACAATTTAGCAGACGCTTTTATCCAAAGCGACTTACAGTCATTCATGCATACATGTTTACGTATGGGTGGTCCCGGGAATAAAACCCACTATGCTCTGCCAAGATGCATGACAAGTTTATAATTGTGAAGCCTAAATGTAATATGATTTATAAAGCCTTTATTATGCGGTGCTTCTGCCACCCTTTATAAAACACAGGTTTATGTCATATTTGACATAATGGGTTATTTCAAATTTGACATTGGTGGTTATGTCACACAGTTATCCCACATTTATGAACCCTTTATAGAGCATGACATACGGTTATAGATGATTTGTGACACATTTATGTAATGTTTATGAAGACTTTATGAAGGCTTTATGAAGCCTTTATAAGCTGCATGTAATTTAAAGCGGGACCGTGATAAGTATAATTTTGGTCTTAATCTGTTGTTGTCTAGTACAGTCTTTTTGCTAGCTAAGGCCATCTACTTTAAGTGCTGCCTGTCTTCCCAGTAGCCTACTTGGTGTATGAACTGCTGACTGCTCATAACTTGCGGATGATTGTTGACACATCAACAAGGATCAAGGGGCAGGGCAATTTGTGACTTGTTTTAGTAATCAGTGGCTGTATTGGAGGGTGGGGTGGTTTCACCTCTTAGGAAAGGATTCAGACCCCTTGATTTTTTCCACATTTTGTTAGGTTACAGCCTTATTCGACAATGGATTAAATTGTTTTTTCCCCTCATCAATTTACACACAATACCTCATAATGACAAAGCAAAAACTGGTTTTTAGAAATGTTTGCTAATTTATTGAAAATAAAAAACGAAAATATCACATTTACATAAGTATTCAGACCCTTTACTCAGTACTTTGTTGAAGCACCTTTGGTAGCGATTACAGCCTTGAGTCTTCTTGGGTATGACACTACAAGCTTGGCACACCTGTATTTGGGGAGTGTCTCCCATTTTTCTCTGCAGATCCTCTCAAGCTCTGTCAGTTGGATGAGGGGCGTTGCTGCGCAGCTATTTTCAGGTCTCTCCAGAGATGTTAGATCGGGTTCAAGTCCGGGCTCTGGCTGGGCTACTCAAGGACATTCAGAGACTTGTCCCGAAGCCACTCCTGCGTTGTCTTGGCTGTGTGCTTAGGGTCGTTGTCCTGTTGGAAGGTGAACCTTTGCCCCAGTCTGAGGTCCTGAGCGCTCTGGAGCAGGTTTTCATCAAGGATCTCTCTGTACTTTGCTCCGTTCGTCTTTCCCGCTTTCCCTTTTCCGTTAGTCTTTCTTTGCTCCATTCGTCTCCCAGTCCCTGCCGCTGAAAAACATCCCCACATCATGATGCTGCCACCACCATGATTCACCTTAGGGATGTACTCCTGAGTGGCGCAGTGGTCTAAGGCACTAGCAGTGCTAACTGTGCCACTAGAAATCCTGGTTCGAATCCAGGCTCTGTCGCAGCCGGCCGCGACCGGGAGGCTCATGGGCGGCGCACAATTGGCCCAGCGTTGTCCAGGGTAGGGGAGGGAATGGCCGGCAGGGATGTAGCTCAGTTGATAGAGCATGGCGTTTGCAATGCCAGGGTTGTGGGTTCGATTCCCACGGGGGGCCAGTATAAAAAAAATATGTATTCACTAACTGTAAGTCGCTCTGGATAAGAGCGTCTGCTAAATGACTTAAATGGATGGTGCCAGGTTTCCTCCAGACGTGACGCTTGGCATTCAGACCAAAGAGTTCAATCTTGGTTTCATCAGACCAGAGAATCTTGTTTCTCATGGTCTGAGAGTCTTTAGGTGTCTTTTGGCAAATTCCAAGCGGGCTGTCATGTGCCCTTTACTGAGGAGTGGCTTCCGTCTGGCCACTCTACCGTAAAGGCCTAATTGGTAGAGTGCTGCAGAGATGGATGTCCTTCTGGAAGTATCTCCCATCTCCACAGAGGAACTCAAAAGCTCTGTTAGAGTGACCATCGGGTTCTTGGTCACCTCCCTGACCAAGGCCCTGCTCCCCCAATTGCTCAGTTTGGCAAAGTCTTGGTGGTTCCAAACTTCTTCCATTTAAGAATGATGGAGGCCACTGTGTTCTTGGGGACCTTGAATGCTGCAGAAATCTTTTGGTACCCTTCCCCAGATCTGTGCCTCGACACAATACTGTCTCGGAGCTCTAAGGACAATTATTTTGACCTCATGGCTTGGTTTTTGCTCTGACATTCACTGTCAACTGTGGGACCTTATAGACAGGTGTGTCCTTTCCAAATCATGTCCAATCAATTGAATTTACCACAAGTGGACTCCAATCAAGTTGTAGAAACATCTCAAGGATGATCAATGGAAACAGGATGAACCTGAGCTCAATTTTGAGTCTCATAGCAAAGGGTCTGAATACGTATGTAAATAAGGTATTTCAGTTTTTTATTTGGAATAAATAGCAACAATAAAAAAACGTTTTTGCTTTGTTATTATGGGGTATTGTGTTTAGATTGATGGGGGGGGGGGGGGGGGTACAATTTAATCCATTTTAGAATAAGGCTGTAACGTAACAAAATGTGGAAAAAGTCAAGGGGTCTGCATACTTTCCGAATGCACTGTATAACCAGCTTCTCAGGCTCCATCTTACTACTGGTGTCCCCCAGGGCTTGGTTCTAGGTCCTCTCCTCTTCTCTCTATACACCAAGTCACTCGGCTCCAGCATATCCTCACATGGTCTCTCCTATCATTTTCTCCTTCCCCCCTTCTGACACCCAGGTGGCGACACGCATCTCTGCGTGCCTGGCAGATATCTCAACTTGGATGTCGGCCCACCACCTCAAGCTCAACCTCAACAAGATGGAGTTGCTCTTCCTCCCGGGGAAGGCCTGCCCACTCAAAGACCTCTCCATCACGGTTGACATCCACAATTTCGCCCTCCGAGAGTGCAAAGAACCTTGGCGTGACCCAGGACAACACCCTGTTGTTCTCTGCATACATCAAAGCAGTGACTCGCTCCTGCAGGTTCATGCTCTACAACATCCGTAGAGTATGACCTTACCTCACACAGGAAGCGGCGCAGGTCCTAATCCAGGCACTTGTCATCTCCCGTCTGGACTACTGCAACTCGCTGTTGGCTGGGCTCCCCGCTTGTGCCATCAAACCGTGCAATTTAACCAGAACGCTGCAGCCCGCCTGGTTTTCAACCTTCCCAAGCTCTCCCATGTCACCCCGCTCCTCCGCACACTCCACTGGCTTCCAGTCAAAGCTCGCATCAACTACAAGACCATGGTGCTTGCCTACGGAACAGCAAGAGGAACTGCCCCTCCCTACCTTCAGGCTATGCTCAAACCCTACATCACAACCCGAGCACTCCGTTCTGCCACCTCTGGTCTCTAGGCCCTCCCACTCAGTCCAGTCCAAGCTCTTCTCTGTCCTGGCACCCCAATGGTGGAAGCAGCTTCCCCTTGAAGCTAGGAAAGCAGTCCCTTCCCATCTTCCGAAAGCACCGGAAACCCTACCTCTTCAGAGTATCTTAAATAATCCCCCCCCCCCCCCCCCCCCCCCCCCCAAACAAATTGAGAGAAATAAGCTTTTTGGGCATATGTACAATTTCTGGGATCTTTGATTTCTGCTCATGAAACATGGGACCAGAACTGTACATGTTGCGTTTATATTTTTGTTCATAATACTTAACGTAATGCCATGATTTACTATAGTATTAACATCTGAGAATGGTTTTTATTTGGTTAAAAGCTTATAAGCAGTTTATAAGCAAGTAATTGGTGCCTTATACAACATGTTTCCAAATAAACAGAAATGGTATGTAAGCCACATTGCTGTCTCTCTCGCTTTTTGCCATGGCTGAAGGCTTTGTTTCTGTTGTGTAGGTTCTTTTTGATGTGCTACATGTTTGTGAACCTGGCCTGTGCCTTGCAAACCCTCCTGAGGACGCCTAACTGGAGGCCACGCTTCAAGTTCTATCACTGGTGAGTCCCACAAAATCCCATCAAAGGAACGCCTCCTGAGAGATGATACAAGGGCCTTGAATGTGTGTGTGTGTGTGTGTGTGTGTGCGTGCACGCACGTCTCACCTCTAGTTCTTGGTGTGCGCCGGCCCTTCGTCCAGCCTCGTCAGACTGTATCGGGTGGCGCTGAGAGAAATGTGAGTTCTTTCTCTCAGCGCTGCCCGATATGCACTGATGAGGCTGAAGGAGGGGCCGGCTCACACCAAGAACTGGAGGTGAGATGCGCACACACACACACTCACACACATACAAGCGTGCGTGTGTTTTTATACTGTTTAATGTACAGTATATATATTGTATGTACTGTATGGCTGCATGTGTGCGTGCGTGTGTGTGTGTGTGTGCATTCTGTACGTGTGTATCTAATCCTTTCTCTGTTTGTGTCTCTTTACAGGGCCCTGTCCTTCCTGGGCATGAGTCTGTGTCTATCACTCATGTTCATCTGTTCCTGGTTCTACGCCATCGTTGCCATGGTGATCGCTGGCAGTATCTACAAGTATATCGAGTTCCACGGGTGAGTGTAGCGCGACCCCTGAGACAGATTGGATTCGCTGGCTGTGTGTGTGTGTGTGTGTGTGTGTGTCTGTGTATTGGGAGGGGAATTAAAAATCCTATCAACCATCATTCAGTCAGGCCAGTTAAAGGGGAAATGTGTTGATTGGGGTTTCCACTGTTTGGACAGTTTAGTGTTATGGCTTGTTGTGCTGAGACAATGGCTTGGGTTGCAATTACATGACTTGATGGTAAAGCTGGTTGAAAACAGAGCTTGGCTAACAACGACTTAGCATTCTGTATATGGGAAGAGAGGCTTTAAAGCGGTACAAGGGACTTTTGCAGCGATGCCTCCCAGGCTGATTTTTAAACAACTTTTTTAAGCGACGATTTTTAAAGACCCATGCTCACACAATTCTTATGACTCCCTAAACTGATAGCCTACCGGACGGTGAAAATAGGTTTGACATTTAGATGTGTTAGAAGCCTGTGCAGTTCATTGAATAACAATGTTATAATATTGTCATTTTAATTTGTAATAGACATGTAATAACACATAGGCCTAGTTATTAGACTTTTAATGGTGTAATAATCACTATGTAATACCATTAGTTGTGACATGATTGAATAATATAACCTTGGTGTGTGATTGTGTGACAGGGCGGAGAAAGAGTGGGGTGATGGGATACGAGGCATTTCTCTCAGCGCCGCCCGATATGCTCTGATGAGGCTGGACGAGGGGCCGGCGCACACCAAAAACTGGAGGTGAGACGTGCACACACAAACACACACAAACACACACAAACACACACACAAACACACACACAGTGTACCAGACCTGGGTTCAAATCAGGGGTTGGAACTGCTTCAGGAAACAGAACTGAAAAACGAAAAATAATGACATTTTCAGAGGAACCAGAACTGGGAATGAAAGTGATCTCTAGTGTTCCGGAACATAACCGTTATTTTCAAATATTGAGAACTGGTTAATAATGTTATTTTCAGTTCCACAAATATTCCTAATGTCTAGTATATAATTCTGTAATTCGGTGAAGTTATAATGCTAGTAATAGCCTAAACACATTCCAATTCACGTCATGCCATGATGTTCAGCGTCTTAAACCAAGCCCCCTCCATGTCCACACCTCTCTCTTGCTCTCTCCCTACCCGTGAAATTTCAGTCGCATCTCGCGCCTGCACTTAGTTGACCAATCAACCATCTTACCCGTTCCACAGCAAGCTTCTCTATCGGCACTAATTGGGGGAGTAAATGAATGAGCTAAATGTAAAAACATGGTTGATTTTACAGGTAAAAAGATGAACGAAAAGGAACTATATGAACCATTCCATATTTTTTGTTCGAACCGGTTCAGAATTTTATTTTCTGGTTGGAACACCAGAATGGAAGAAAATAAATAGGGGTTCTGCTCGGAACGGAACAAGTGGACATTATTTATGTTCCAACTAGGGTTGCAAAGCTACCGATACTTTAAGTATAAGTTACCGGAATTTTCAGTAATTTTGGTAATTAATAGAAAATCTATGGCAATCTATCGCGACTTTGGTCATTTATACTTGAATAACTTTTTTTTTTAATGATTCATATATAGTATTAATGTATTATATCTGTGTACATATTGTCCATGAGGTTCTAGTACATTTTTTATTTTTTTATTTAACCTTTATTTAACCAGGTAAGCCAGTTGAGAACAAGTTCTCATTTACAACTGCGACATGGCCAAGATAAAGCAAAGATAGACCACATGGTTCAAGAGAAAACAGCCTTATTAATGGAAAAAGCATCTAACCAACAATGGCATTTTTTTTTATTAACTCTGCAACCCTTCCAACTATTGACATTTTTCACAACTGCCAGCAGTTTGATGCTAAAACATTGACAACAAATACATATTGACATAGTAAAATAAAGAAACGTTTGTAAAAAAAATATTTAAAGGATATTTCATGCTGAAAACTTCATATTAAACACCAATGGTATTCGCTAAGTTGATGGTTTATACACTGTGTGTGCAAAACATTAGGAACACCTGCTCTGAAGTACCCATAAGGGCCACTAGATGTCTTGTGACAGATTACATAAAATCCTTGAAAGAAACCAAACTTCTAGTAGTTTACTGGCAAACTTAGAAAGTTTCCAGTAGTATACCCTCCCTTTGCAACCCTAGTTCCAACTCCTGGTTCAAATACTTGTGTATTTGAATATCTGGTATTTAAAATACTTTTTTCTGTATATTTGAGTATTTTCAAATACACAGCCCAAAACAAATACTTTTATTTTTGTATTTGAATTGTTATAAAAATAAAAATAAAGTATACTAAATTGTATTTGAAAGTATTTTCAAATATTTTCCTGGAAGACTATTTGAAACCAAAAATATTTCTAATTCCCTCAAATACTTTACATCCCATATCTTCACCAACTACTGATCCTCTGAAATTCTGGAAGACACAAATACCCAACACTGAACAGAGTTGCTGCTGAGTACCTGCATGTCCCAGCATCCTCTGCAGCTGTGGCGCGGCTTTTCAGCATTGGAGGGCTTATCTTCAGACCAGATCACTACACAAACCCTGATGTTTTTTAAATGTAACATGGCATCTTGTCCTCTTTCATGAGACACCAATGTAAAGTAAGGGCTGTATATTGTGATTTAAAAAGTGAAATAAGACCTATTTTCAAATACATACCAAATAACAATACATACTAAATTACAATATTTATTTGAAAATACTGTCTTTCAAATACTTCCAACAATATGTATTTGAATTAATGGTAAACACATGACAATACTTTCCAAATAGTGTTTTCAAATACATTCCAATATTCAACTACTTGTTTTTTCAAATGAAGCTTATCTGAATATTTGTTTTGAAATTTCATAAAAAGTCATTGAAATACCTGAAATAGTATTTTAACCCAGGTCTGCAGTGTACGCAGATAAAACCACATAAATAACTACACAGGCCATTTTGTGTCACCTATCTAATAAACATGGAAATGAACGACATGTCTGTGCATGTGTAGCATTCCATTTAAATTATTTTAATAAATTTTGAGCTACTGTCATGTAACAGACAATAATAATTTTTTGAACATACTCGTGATAACCTCAGTGCACTCTTCCTTGCTTTTCTCTCTCTTTATTTCACTTGTTCTCTACCTTTCTATCTTTCAAATCTCTGTGCTACACTTTAAATTCAACTGAAAATGCTTTACTGGAATGACAGAAGTATACGTATTTGTTTTGCAACACGTTAAAACCCTTCCTCCAATTCCTTCCTTCCTTCCTTCCTTCCTTCCTTCCTTCCTTCCTTCCTTCCTTCCTTCCTTCCTTCCTTCCTTCCTTCCTTCCTTCCTTCCTTCCTTCTTTTCCTTCTGCAACTCCCTCTGTCGCCCTCCAGGCCTCAGCTGCTGGTGTTGGTCAGTACGGATGTGGAGCAGAATGTGGAGCAGCCTCGCCTGCTCTCGCTGACCAACCAGCTGAAAGCGGGCAAAGGGCTGACCATCGTGGGCACTGCCTTGGCAGGCACCTACCTGGAGAACCACCCCCAGGCCCAGCGAGCAGAGCAGGTTAGATACCAGGCAGATCCCATGGCATCCCACTGCATATCACACAAACAGCACTACTCTCCGATCTGGACTGCTTTAGACTTGATCCTGTGACTCTGTTCCAATATCCACACTTAAAACACTTAAAATGAAGCTGTACCTAAAATCAGTGTTACCACCGTCCATTTCACCCTTCAATTGCTGGGCAAGTTGTTGACCCTTATTGCCCTCTGTGGCTTAGTTGGTTCCCTTACAAAGGCGCTTATCCATATCGATAGAGCGAGAGAGAGCGACGAGGCGATCGCGAGGAGATGAGAGGAGAGAGAAGAGCGCGAGAGTAGCGAGCGGATACAGAAGAGAGAGAGAGCAGAGAGAGAGCTACAGAGACGCTATCGGAGATCGTATATGAGCTCTAGAGCGCGTAGCGCTCTCTCTCTATCTCTCTCTCTCTCTCTCTCTCTCTCTCTCTCTTTCGCTCTCTCTCTCATCCCCTCTCTACTCACCCTCCCCCTCTCCCTCCCTCTCTCTTCCGCCCTTCATTCTCTCTCTCATCCCCGCCCCCTTCCCCTCCAGTCTCTGCGTAAGCTGATGGAGACAGAGAAGGTGAAGGGCTTCTGCCAGGTCACCATCTCATCCAACATGCGCGACGCCACCTCCCATCTGCTCCAGGCCAGTGGACTGGGCGGTCTCATGCACAACACGGTCCTGGTCAGCTGGCCGCGCAACTGGAAGCAGGCTGACGACCACCAGACCTGGAGGGACTTCATCGGTGGGTCACAGAGGGGGTCAAGGGTGGATGGTCAAGTAGGATGGGGGGGTAAAAGGAGGGGTAGGAAAAACAAACACGTTATTTATCTAGGTTATTACTGTCTTATTACCATGTTACCCTTCTAAGTAAATTCTGGTCAATTTTGCACCATACAATGAAGAAGTTGTAGACATATCATTAACAATCATCTTTATGTTTTGTTTTTTTGTACACAAGATCATCACTTTAATCCATATTCTACCTATACAGGATGTTACATGAACTATCGGATCTTCACAAGATCTTCCATAAAGGTTATTGAGTGATCATCAGACTCATATTAGATGAACTCCCCCCTCTTCCCTCTCTATCCTGTCCTGTAGAGCTGGTTCGGGAGACCACAGCCGCCCACCTGGCCCTGCTGGTGCCCAAGAACATCGCTGCCTTCCCGTCCAATGGAGAGCGCTTCTCAGAGGGCCACATTGATGTGTGGTGGATTGTCCATGATGGAGGCATGCTGATGCTGCTGCCTTTCCTTCTGCGCCAGCACAAGGCAGGCTGCCCAGCACACGCCCTCCCTGAGACATGGGTCGCATTGCATTGGCCATGTTTTATATAGACATTATTAAAGTCTATTTATAAACTGGGTGGTTCGAGCCCTGAATGCTGATTGGCTGACAGCCGTGGTACATCAGACCGTATACATGTATTTTTACTGTTCTAATTACGTTGGAAACCAGTTTATAATAGCAATAAGGCACTTTGGGGGTTTGTGGTGTATGGCCAATATACCTCGGCTAAGGGCTGTGTCCAGGCACTCCGCGTTGCGTCGTGCTTAAGAACAGCCCTTAGCTGTGGTATATTGGCCATATACCACACCCCCTCGGGCCTTATTGCTTAAATATATAACTAGTCATGCACTCAGTTTTATAGTAAGGTGCAATGTAAATTTTTTACTATAGTGCAGGGCATTCGTACAATCAGTTTGTTAACTAATCAATACGCATGCTATGGCAGTTTCTATACATCGTCATGAAGGTTCTAACCGGAATACTGTATGACAGGTTATAGATGAGCAGGTTACAATGGTATTTCCTACCGACAGGTGTGGAGGAAGTGCAGATTACTGTATAACAGGTTAAAGATGAGCAGGTTACACTGGTCTTTTCTACTAATAGGTGTGGAGGAAGTGCAGGATGCGCATCTTCACCGTGGCCCAGATGGACGACAACAGCATCCAGATGAAGAAAGACCTGACCACCTTCCTGTACCACCTGCGTATCGATGCCGAGGTTGAAGTGGTGGAAATGGTTAGACTCCATGTCTGTCTATGACTGTTTCAGATTAAAGATACACTATGGGAGTTTACGTGTTAATTGTTGACTCAAAATGTTGTCTTGAATATTGGCTGTATGGATCATATGACATAGTTGATATAATATTAATCATCATTGTATTATGTATGGAGGTGTGTTAGCTGTCTCCCATGTTCCTTGCGGTGCTGCTGTCCATCCAGTAGACTGATGACACCAAACACAAAGTTGTCCATATGACATCCATAGGACACCTGGTGTATCTGGCCATCCTCAATACACTAACCCAGGCCTTCTCCTCTCTCAGCACGACAGCGACATCTCAGCCTACACCTATGAGAAGACCCTGGTGATGGAACAGCGATCGCAGATCCTAAAACAGATCAACCTGACCAAGACCGAGCGAGAGAGAGAGGTAGGGTTGCAAAGTTACCGGTAATTTACCAAAGTTACCGGAATTGTTGGTAATCTATGGCAATTTCAAAAAGTGTATTCATAATATAGTATTCATTTTTTATATCTGTGTCCATATTGTCCATGAGTTAGACCATATGGTTCAAGAGAAAATAGACTAATTAATGAAAAAAGCATCTAATCAACAATGGCATTATTTTCTATTAACTCTGCAACACTTCAAACAATTGACTTTTTTCACAACTGCCACCAGTTTGGCAACAAAACATTTACAACAAAGACATATTGACATAGTCAAGTAAATAAAAGTGTGTAAAAAAATAAATAAAGGTTATTTCATACTGAAACCCTCATATTAAACACCAATGGTATTCACTAAGTTGATGGTTTATATTTAGGATAATGTTTTACAGCTTTGTCATTCTATATACAGTACCAGTCAAAAGTTTGGACACACTTACTCATTCAAGGGTTTTTCTTTATTTTTACTATTTTCTACATTGTAGAATAATAGTGAAGACATCAAAACTATGAAATAACACATATGGAATCATGTAGTAACCAAAAAAGTGTTAAACAAATCAAAATATAGTTTCTCTTTGCTTATTTGAGCTGTTCTTGCCATAATATGGACTTGGTCTTTTACCAAATAGGGCTATCTTCTGATATACCAACCCTACCTTGTCACAACACAACTGATTGGCTCAAACACATTAAGAAGGAAAGAAATTCCACAAATTAACTTTTAACAAGGCACACCTGTTAATTGAAATGCATTCCAGGTGACTACCTCATGAAGCTGGCTGAGAGAATGCCACGAGTGTGCAAAGCTGTCATTAAGGCAAAGGGTGGCTATATATTTTGATTTGTTTAACACTTTTTTTAGTTACTACATGATTCCATATGTGTTATTTCATAGTTTTGATGTCTTCACTATTATTCTACAATGTAGAAAATAGTAAAAATAAAGAAAAACACTTGAATTAGTAGGTGTGTCCAAACTGTTGACTGGTACTGTATATACAGTATATATATATATATATATATATATATATATATATATATATATATATATATATATATATATATATATATATATATATTTTTTTTTTAATCATCTTATTTGATTATTTGATATATATATTTTACATGTGATAAGGCCACACAGAGGGCCAGAGACAGTTACAGACACCTGTGATAATCTGAAGTATCAAAAAGGGCCACTAGATGTCTTGTGATAAACAACATAGAATCCTTGAAAGTTACCAGAATTCTGGTAGTTTACTTGTAATATACCCTCCCTTTGCAACCCTAGAGAGAGGTACCGCTTTACACAGAATAACTAGAATGGGCTAATTCTTTTTTTATTTAATATTTTACATTTATCATGCCACTACTGCACGTTACACTCTGCAACACATCAATGAACCATGTCTGAAAAGTCGCTTTGGTTTCATAAAGTGAAAAACAAACAAGATATTGATCATGTTGTAATGACATTAGCACTCCTCAATGCTTCATGTAGCCTGGAGACTGTAAAGCCAGTGTGTGTACATCCAATATGTTGCCTGATGCTGGGTAAACCAATCAAGACAGAAGAACATAAAGAATGCATCGCACAGTATTGCTGCACCCAAAAGTGATTGAATTGTCTACATTCACAGACAATGTTCTGAAAACGTAAATGTTCATAACCTTGTTTTGTCTCCATGTAGACAATACCAAACAAGATATGAATCATGTTGTGATGATATTAGCACTCCTATGTCTGATTCACACTATAGGGCTGACCCGAACTGAACTGTGCTGGCTTGCATATTTTATTTTCTCCTAGCAACTACGATGGATGCGAAACCAGGCCAGCCCAGTACAGCTTGGCATGGCTCAGTTCAGTTTGGCTCAGTAGTGTGAAATGCTTTATTCAGCTCTTTGTCTTCCTTCCGCAGATCCAGAGCATCACAGACTCATCCCGCGGATCCATCCGGCGCAAGAACCCGGCGGCTGCGACCACCCAGCTGAGTGTGACCGAGGAACAGCCCGGTGCGAGCAGCAAGGAGGAGGAGAAACCCGAGGAGGAGGTTGGTGCTGTTACTGTCCGGTCAACTGAGCCACATTCACTCTAACCAGGGAGTATACCGGTAATTAAGAATTAATGCTACGAGGCCAGCGCTGGCAAATACTTGAAAGCAGAGCAGTCAATTGAGTTGTGAGGGGTTGTGATGTGACTGTGAACTGCTGATGTACAAACATTAGGAGATCAGTGGTTTTGACCCTGGGGTGGTGGCTTTTCAGACTTCCTTACTTTTTTTATGCTGTGAGGATAATTGCGGTCAGGCATGGTCAAGGAATGGTCAGGAATGATTGAAGGGGTTGTGAACCGCTGGTGTTGACATTGGGAGGTCAGTGGTTTTCACCCTTAGGTGGTGGTTTTTCAGACTTCCAACTTTTTCTACTAGTGAGGTTTTATGGTTCGAGGACAGTTGCAGTCAGGCACAGTCCAGGAATGAATGGTTAAGGGGTTGGGGTTGTGAACCGCTGGTGTTGACATTAAGAGGTCCGTTTTTTTACACTTCCAACCCACTCTACCAGTGGGTTATTCATGTGTCTTTTTTTTGCGGTCAGGCACAGTCAGGGAATGGTTAAGGGGTAAGGGAAGACTCACACAGGCTCTCGACTGGTCACAGTGTTTCTTGCAAATTATTGGATACCAGGATTTTTTTCATTTAACCTTTATTTTATCAGGGAGTCATACTGAGACCAAGGTCTATTTTACAGATGAGCCCTGAATTACAGAAATTACAGAAAATACACCCATCAAAATATGCATCCAAAATGCAAGCAGAAAGAAAAACAGTCATAAAAAACTAACACATTCATCAGTAATAAGGTCCTCAATCAGCTTTCTGAATTGCACTAGAGGCACCAGAACATAACATTTAAGAACATTTTGAAGATTGTTCCACAAATAAGGTGCAAGAAAATTAAAAGCTGATTTACCTAACTCAGGAGAGACCACAGGAATTTCCAGAGTTAGCCATCCCTGAGACTGGGTGTGGTAACTCTTATGTCTAAAGATTAGTAATGATGTTCGGTACAGGGAGACTTTTGGTTAAAGGGCTTTATAAATGAAAACATAGCAATGTATCAACCTATGTGACATCAAAGAGGCCCAACTAACTTTCTGGTAGAGAATGCAGTGATGAGTACTAAAATTGTCGCCTGTAATAAAGCACAGTGCGTTATGGTAAACTGCATCTAACGGCTTTAATGAAGTGGCTGCTGCGTTCATATAGGATCTAGGAACGTCGACTGAATAATCTGCTTTCTACTATTTAGCGAGAGGCAGGACCTATTTCTAAAGAAGAAGCCCATTTTTATTCTCAGCATCTTAACTAACTCATCAATATGCTTTTTAAAAAACAGTTTTTCATCTATCCAGATGCCCAGATATCTGTAAGCAGGGACACGATCAATATGGACACCATCCAAAGAACATATGCTTAAATCATCAGACTTATTTTTATGCGCTTTAGAGAACAACATATACTTAGTTTTACCTGCATTCAGTACTAATTTCAGGTCAATTAAGTTTTTCTGTAATACAATGATGGCAGACTGTAGTTCAGATAGAGCCTGGTCAACCGTGGGGGCAATAGCATACACAACAGTATCATCAGCATACAAGTGCAGATTATTATTATTTATTTTACATTCAAGTCGATATTATTAATGTAAACAGTAGAAAGTACAGAATCGACCCCTGTGGGACACCTTTCGTAATATCCAGGAAACATGATTTAACACCATCAGTAGATATACATTGAGTTCTATCTGTCAAGTAATTTTTAAACCAGTTGCATGCAGCCTTGTCTAGGCCAATTTAGGAAAGCCTCTGAATTAGCAGTAAGTGATCAACAGTACCGAAAGCCTTTGACAGGTCAATGAAGAGGGCAGCACAATGTTGCCTTTTATCCATAAAGTTAACCACAGAATTTATAACTAGGGATGCAGTAGAAACAGTGCTATGACCTGGTCTAAAACCCGACTGATCTACAGTACCTGTCAAAAGTTTGGACACACCTATTCAATGGTTTTTCTTTATTTTTTATATTTTATACATTGTAAAATAATAGTGAAAACATCAAAACTATTAAATAACACATATGGAATCATGTAGTAACCAAAAAGTTATACAGTTGAAGTCGGAAGATTACATACACCTTAGCCAAATACATTTAAACTCAGTTTTTCACAATTCCTGACATTTAATCCTAGTAAAAATTCCCTGTCTTAGGTCAGTTAGGATCACCACTTTATTTTAAGAATGTGAAATGTCAGAATAATAGTAGAGAGAATGATTTATTTCAGCTTTTATTTATTTCATCACATTCCCAGTGGGTCAGAAGTTTACATACACTCAATTCGTATTTAGTAGCATTGCCTTTAAATTGTTTAACTTGGGTCAAATGTTTCGGGTAGCCTTCTACAAGCTTCCCACAATAAGTTGGGTGAATTTTGGCCCATTCCTCCTGACAGAACTGGTGTAACTGAGTCAGGTTTGTAGGCCTCCTTGCTCGCACATGCTTTTTCAGTTCTGCCCACAAATGTTCTATAGGATTGAGGTCAGGGCTTTGTGATGGCCACTCCAATACCTTGACTTTGTTGTCCTTAAGCCATTTTGCCACAACTTTGGAAGTATGCTTGGGGTCATTGTCCATTTGGAAGACCCATTTGCGACCAAGCTTTAACTTCCTGACTGATGTCTTGAGATGTTGCTTCAATATATCCACATCATTTTCCTTCCTCATGATGCCATCTATTTTGTGAAGTGCACCAGTCCCTCCTGCAGTAAAGCAACCCCACAGCATGATGCTGCCACCCTCGTGCTACACGGTTGGGATGGTGTTCTTCGGCTTGCAAGCAACCCCCTTTTTCCTCCAAACATAACGATGGTCATTATTGCCAAACAGTTCTATTTTTGTTTCATCAGACCAGAGGACATTTCTCCAAAAAGTATGATCTTTGTCCCCATGTGCAGTTGCAAACCATAGTCTGGCTTTTTTATGGCAGTTTTGGAGCAGTGGCTTCTTCCTTGCTGAGTGGCCTTTCAGGTTATGTCGATATAGGACTCGTTTTACTGTGGATATAGATACTTTTGTACCGGTTTCCTCCAGCATCTTCACAAGGTCCTTTGCTGTTGTTCTGGGATTGATTTGCACTTTTCGTACCAAAGTACGTTCATCTCTACGAGACAGAACGCATCTCCTTCCTGAGCGGTATGACGGCTGTGTGGTCCCATGGTGTTTATACTTGCATACTATTGTTTGTACAGATGAACGTGGTACCTTCAGGCGTTTGGAAATTGCTCCCAAGGATGAACCAGTCTTGTGGAGGTCTACAATTGTTTTTCTGAGGTCTTGGCTGATTTCTTTTGATTTTCCCATGATGTCAAGCAAAGAGGCACTGAGTTTGAAGGTAGGCCTTGAAATACATCCGCAGGTACACCTCCAATTGACTCAAATGATGTCGATTAGCCTATCAGAAGCTTCTAAAGCCATGACATCATTTTCTGGAATTTTCCAAGCTATTTAAAGGCACAGTCAACTTAGTGTATGTAAACTTCTGACCCACTGGAATTGTGATACAGTGAATTATAAGTGAAATAATCTGTCTGTAAACAATTGTTGGAAAAATTACTTGTGTCATGCACAAAGTAGATGTCCTAACCAAAACTATAGTTTGTTAACATGAAATTTGTGGAGTGGTTGAAAAACAAGTATTAATGACTCCAACCTAAGTGTATGTAAACTTCCGACTTCAACTGTATATTCTGGTTTATGGATACATCTACAACCAGGAGTTCAAATATTTAAAGATTGGGACGCCATTAAATTTGATTTTACATATATGGCCACTCCCCCTCCTTTCTGCAATCTGTCACATCTAAATACATTATAATAATTTACATCAATGTCTTTATCAGAGACAGAACCATTTAACCATGTTTCCGAGAGAACCAGAATGTCAGGACATGAGTCCTGGACCCAAATGTCATTTGTGTCAATATTTGTAACCATTTAGGTGCATTAGCCCAAGCCCCTTACGAAATGTAAAGTTAGAGGGAGTATTAAGATAATTCCCATAAGAGCTAACAGGCATAGGGTCATCTGCCTTGTCTCTCCCCACCCTGTCTCGTGATCTCAGTCTGTCTCTGTCGCTGTGTCCCCTCCCCCTCAGGTCCAGCTCATCCATGACAGCACCACCCCGGCCAGTCCCGCCACCCCGGCTACCCCCCTGACCCCGGCCAACGAGGGGGGTGCCCAGACCCCAGGGTCGGCCCAGGTCCAGATGACCTGGACGGAAAAGGCTGATGGTGAGCCGGCCAAGCCGCCTGGCGCCTCCACCCCGGAGGGCATCAAAGACATCTTCAACATGAAGCCGTGAGTGTGGTTTGGCAAAACTGGTTTATGAGCCCTGATGAAGACCTGAGTGGTCAAAACGTTGTCAATAGTATGCAAAGTCTCTTTTCACTTAAAAAAAAAGAAAACTGGTATACTCCCATGTTGGAACCAAAAGTTATTGAAGAGTAACATTCTGATTGGCATTCTTCTTGTCTTGGGACTTTTGGTGTCAAAATGGCGGATGTTGAAATTCAACATCTTAATAAAGGGATAGTTCACTCCAAAACTATATTTTAGTATTTTGTTCATTAATCCACTGTTAATACAATCCCATGTCAGCAGTGAAGTTTTAAAAAAGAGCACTTTCAATACAGAGAAAAAACTGTGATGATGCATTTTGCATTCTCACTTTTAATCTTGTGTTTCTCTCCCTTGTCATGCTGCAGTGAGTGGGAAAACCTGTAAGTATTTCTGTGGCTCAAACATTGGTGGAGCTTACATGAAACAGTGGTCTGGAAAAAATAGTAATTTTGTGGAAAGAGTGTTTTTTAATATATATTTCATCAAAGATTCCATGGACCAAGTCAGCATAGCAAAGGTTGATTATGTCTTGAGTGTTCTGAATAGAAAAGTCGATGCTTGAGTGAAGGACTTAATGAGTGAAAGAGTGAGCATTTTGTTTTAGCTGTTTGTGAATTAGTAGCCTAAAAAGGTTGCAGTTCCACAGTTTGTTTCACTGAATGCCTAAACATAATACTGCATTATGAACAAATTAACCTTTGGTTTGGAGCTTAGCATCTTGTTTATTCCATCAGAAACCAGTCCAATGTGAGACGCATGCACACAGCACTGAGGCTGAACGGTGTCATCGTGAAGAAATCCTCAGAGGCCAAGCTGGTGCTCCTTAACATGCCCGGGCCACCCAAAAACCGAGCGGGCGACGAGAACTGTATCCTTCTTTCTCTATCCTCTCTCTCTCACTCCCAGGGAGCTTCCAAGGGTGGTCATATTAGAACAGACAAACATGTATTATTGCAGGCACAGGGCCGGCTCTAGTCTTTTGGGGGCCCTAAGCAAGATTTGGTTGGGGGGCCCCACACCTTGCCGCAAAACATTTTAATGGCAGCAGAAAGAAAAAATGTGGTTTTGCATTTCCTGCAATTCTACAATTCAAATGTTATAATTTTATAACAAATTGAATGCAATTCTTCTCATTTTGCCATGGGGTGGAGACAAATTTTTGCAGTTTTAAAGCTAATTTCCCAAAATGTTCCACATTTTGCCATGACTTATGCCATGTTTATATGATATCTGAGTGAGAATGACTAACTAAATCAATGGGGGCCCCCTGGAGGTCAGGGCCACTGGGCACGGCCCTGTGTGCCAGTTCAGTATTTAGCCAGTTTTAGATAGCTGGCTAGACTAACTAACAATCTAAAAATGAACATGGCTAATTGTCAACTAATTGAGACTGACAAAACAAGAGAAAAACTGCTGATGCACAACCACATTTAGAAATTGCACCTGGTGTATTCTACTATTCTTACTCTCAATAGTAAGTCGAGACACGACTGAGTAAAAAAAATACTAAATGTTTTTTTTGGGGGTGGGGGGGGGTAGGGGCCCCCCTAACGGCCGTGGGCCCTAAGCGACCGCTTATGTCGCTTACGCCTGGAGCCAGCCCTGCACAGGCATACAAGCTATTTGTTTGTAAGTTAGGTTTAGGGTTTAGGTGAGGGTTAGGGTTAGGGTTAGGGTGAATGGTCGAAATCAGATTTGTTGTTAGAGAGCTTCTGAAGTGGACTTGGCGTCCATTTTCACACTGAATGGGGTTATTTGTATTTGTATTTATTATGGATCCCCATTAGCTGCTGCCAAGGCTGGGGTCCAGCAAAAATTAAGGCAGTAATATACATTATAATACAATTTGTAAACATTAAAATACATTTTACAACAGATTTCACAACACATTAAGTGTGTGCCCTCCGGCCATTACTCAACTACAACACACAATCCAGGTGTACATGTGTGTATAGTGTGTACGTTATGTGTGTTTGTATGTGTTTCAGTGAAGGCTGGTGACTTGAACAATTGAGGAGGATGGGAGACCCACAGTATAGGCGCGGAATGCACGGAGACGACGACGCGTGTTTAACAAATCGTCAAAGGCTAATTATTTTAACCTAAAGCATTTATTAAAGACATTTATAGTACAATATTATGGGGAATGGGAATGAGAAGGCTACTTACACAGTGTTGGGAAGGGATCACAGCAGTGATTGAATGAGGGTATGAGGCATGAGTTGAGGTGTTCAGAGGCTTGACTTCAGTGCAGGACAGGGGATGAGGTGTTCATAGGCTTCACTGCAGGACAGGCTCATCATGGATGGATGGTGTTGGAGAAGAGCTCAACTCTTCTCCAACACTGAGGGCAGGACAGGATTTGACTGGGAAGACAAACAATAACACAATACACTACACAGTTAGACAAAAGAGCTAAGAATGAGTTAGTCCAAGCAAGGAGTAAAATCATTGATGTGTAATAATGTGATTGTGTTTGTGTGTGTGATTGACTCTACATACAGTAATGAGAGAAAATTGATAGGGGTACTCACAGTGCTTGGAGAGGAAACATTCAACGTGCCAGTGGATGAGAGGGCACATGAGACGTGGCTTCAGTTCATGTCAGGACAGAGTTGACAATGGTAGTGGAGTGGTCATCACCTCTTAATCAGGGAACAGGAGGAGGGGACTTAGCTGTAAATACAAGTAGCAGACACATTCCATTACAGCTGTGCCATCGTAGGTTTGGGCAACGGGTTTCTCCATGAAGTTGACACATCAAAGTAGCCCAAGAAACGCTCCTGAATAAAGCCCTGATCATCCACATACCTGACGATAACTGACAACAGCAAGCAGACTGGTGGCACAATAGGGCCCAGAGAAGTGGGGCAATTGTTTCCCCCTGGGGCCCGGAGTTTTTCCTTATCTGTTAACCTAACCAGGAAAACTCTGGACCCTATAATTATGGAAGTGATTAATCACTTCTACAGAAGTTTTATATGGGCTATGATGGGACTAGGGCTGTGGCGGTCACGAAATTTCGTCAGCCGGTAATTGTCAAGCAAATAACAGTCGGTCTCACGGTAATTGACCGGCAATTAACATAAACACATTTAGCATCTCCTGGCTTCCACACATAGCCTACAAGCCACTGATGCAGACCTTTGGAACATCTACATTTAAAAAAGTCTAATAAATCCGTGTAATATAGCCTACACCTTCACAATAAATCCATTATTTCTTTTAGACAGGTCTAAAGAAACATGATATAAAGAAAATGTAGTCTATTTCAGAAGAACAGAACAGCATACTCTGAGTTGTCCTTATGTTAGATCTTGATCTGGCTATACCATGTGGCTGTGGGCTACACTAGTTCATTTAGTAGACAAGATTTGGTTAGAATTCAGTGTCATTATTTTATATTATTTAATAGTATGAAGAATACAATTGAACAAAGCTGAATAAAATAGAAAATATATTTTCTCCAAACGATTTAAGGGAGTACGCACATGCGGCTATTCAAATGCTTTCCCCGCTTCCGGGGTCCAGGCGAAGGAGCGTACGCTCGTCTGGGTGATGGCTGTCAGGGGAGCGGCTAGGGAGCTAAAATTGAGAATGAATCGCCTATAAAAATGAGCGAACTCTAAAAACCATTGTAGTTGCTTGAGGGATGAGGGCTGGGGCCTTGACTGGGTCCATCCGTAGGTCCCCCTGGGTGATGATGAACCCCAGGAAAGAGACTGTCTCAGTGTGGAACACACACTTCTCCACCTTGACGTAGAGCTGGTGACGGAGAAGGCGTTGGAGGACCTGCCGAACGTGCTGCTGGTGTTCACTCATGTCCTTCGAAAATATGAGGATATCATCCAAATACACGAAGACGCTGTAGTCGAGGAGATCCCGGAGCACGTCATTGACCAACGCCTGGAACACCGCAGGCGCGTTGGCTAGACCGAACGGCATGACTTGGTACTCGTAATGCCCACTGGGTGTGTTAAATGCTGTCTTCCACTCGTCCCCCTCCCGAATCCTCACCAGGTTGTAGGCATTACATAAGTCCAGCTTGGTGAAGACCCGTGCTCCCTGCAACGACTCGAATGCCGTGGTCATCAGAGGGAGTTGGTAGCGGTTCTTAACCGTGATGTCGTTGACCGTCCTTTTTCCCCACGAAGAAGAAGCCCGCGCCCGCGGGTGAGGTAGAGGGACGGATGTGATATACTCCCTCATGGCCAGCATCTCCGGCCGGGACAAGGAAAACAATCGCCCTCTTGTGGGCATGGCGCCCGGCAGGAGATCGATAGCACAGTCGTATGGCCTATGAGGAGGTAGGCCCTTGGCACGCCTCTTACTAAACACCTCCCCCAGATCCCAATACTCCCGGGGAATGCCTGCCAGGTCTGGGCCGGTGACGGAGTCTGTAGCCGCATGGGAACAGTGCGCCGGGTGATGTAGCCCGGAACCGACTCGGAGAGGGAGAGTAACTGAACACTCCACCCTTGGGCCAGCCCCGCGTCCATCAGGTTTCCCGCGGCCCCAGAATCCACCAGTGAATGCGCCCGACATGCAGCGCGGGCCCACTGAACCCTCCTGTAGCTCAGTTGGTAGAGCATGGCACTTGCAACGCCAGGGTTGTGGGTTCGATTCCCACAGGGGGCCAGTATGAAAAATGTATGCACTCACTAACTGTAAGTCGCTCTGGATAAGAGCGTCTGCTAAATGACTAAAATGTCAAATGTAAAGCCTGACGGGGAGAAAGGTCCGGGAGTCTCTGGAGTTGGGGTTTCAGTTCTGGCTCGCTAGCACCCCTCCCGATACTAGCGAGCCCTCCCGGGCATGATTTGCAGTGGTGACCTGTCTGGCCGCAGTACAGGCAATGTCCCTGGTGCAGACGCCTCTGCCTCTATATCCTGGACAAGCACGCCACACCTGCATCCCTGAATCGGAGGAAAGCCTCCGGGCTGATAGGGGGACATGGAAGCGCGCCTTGCGTCATTCCTCTCTCATGCGCCCTCTCACGGCGCCAATTGTCTACCCGCACCGAGAGGTCAATGAGGCCGTCCAGTCGCTCAGGCAGCTCCCTGAAGGAGAGTTCGTCCATTATCCCCTCTGATAGCCCCTGAGCGTAAAGGACGACCAGGGCGGCCTCCTCCCATCCTGCCTCTTGAGCCCGGGTCCGGAACTCCACGGAGTAGTCCGCCACCGAACGGTCACCCTGCCGACAGGCCGTGAGCCGCCTCTCGGCCTCCTGCCCCGACACCACTGAAAGGTGTCGAACACCTTGCGTAGCTCCCGGGTGAATAGGTAGGAATCGGAGCACGCCGGAGTTTTGCTCTCCCACTCCGCAGTAGCCCAGGAAAGGGCCCGACCTGTCAACAGAGTGATAATGTAGGCCACCCGGCCCTGCTCCGTCGGGAAGGAGGATTGTTGTAGGCTGAATATCAGCCCTCTGGACGTCCGTCTTATCTCTCCGGAGGTGGTAGGCTGGGTTCCCGCAATGTCGCAGGCGAGACTGGAGATGCTGCTGCCGCGGCTTCCACTCCGCCGGCTGCCGGTGCTGGTCGGGTGTCCACCCGGCTCTGCACGGCGATCGTCAGCTGGCGGAGATTCTCTGTGATCTGCTGCAGGCTGTGGTCGTGCTGGTTCAACATGGCTCCCTGCGTTGCCAATGTGCTATGATACTGTGCTGCCTCCGCTGGGTCCATAGTGGCTCAGTTTTCTGTAAGGGTTGGTGTGAGGTGTGACCCAGGTGTGGTGCAGGTTAGACAGTAGGAAGTAGGCAGAGATGGTGAAACAAGGATCTTTACTGATGGTCCTGAAGCCAGGATACAAAATAACGGATTTTACACTAAAAAGAAAGGTGGAGCAAATAAGACTCCAAAAAACAGGCAGACAGCCAAAAATACAAAAATACTAACTATGACTGAAATAATAAATAAACAGGGAGAACACTTCTCACGTACCTGTCCATACGTCCCGTGATCAGACACTGATTAGTGCTGCTTGGCATAGTGAAACTAGCAGAGAAAACTGAGCAAGGGAACACAGGGAAGTGAGGGCATAAATATACAGGTGAATAAGATAGACACAGGTGACACCAATAGGAATATGATTAGTCCTGACTGTGAGTGAGGAGGTGCATTTGGTTGTCGGAGGATGACACCTAGTGGGTCGCTCCGGAACTGTGACCCACTCCTGTAACAGAGGCGTACAAGCCGGCTTAGGAAAACGGAAGCTAGCTGTCCTCCGGCTACACCGTGGTGCTACTCCAGAGAGTGCTGTTGAAGTTACTATAGGCATTCATTGCAAAACAGTGTGTTTTAATTATTTTGTGACATATTAATATATTTAGTATAGTTTTATCTCAAAAGGATAACTTTTTTAATGTTTCACTATTTTTATTTTTATGAAATTTCATTGAGGAGGATGGTCCTCCCCTTCTTCCTCTGAGGAGCCTCCACTGGTGTGTTTGTACCTGTGTGTGTGACTCTTCACAGTCCTTGTTGTTCCATAAGGTGTATTTATATGTTATTTCAATCTGATTTTACTGCTTGCATGAGTTACTTGATGTGGAATAGAGTTCCATGTAGCCATGGCTCTATGTAGTACTGTGCGCCTCCTATACTCTGTTCTGGACTTGGGGACTGTGAAGAGACCTCTGGTGGCATGTCTTGTGTGGTATGAATGGGTGTCTGAGCTGTGTTCTAGTAGTTTAAACAGACAGCTCGGTGCATTCAACATGTCAATACTTACAAAAACAAGTAGTGATGAAGTCAATCTCTCCTCTACTTTGAGCCATGAGAGATTGACATGCATATTATTAATGTTAGCTCTACGCGTATCATTTAAGGGCCAGCCGTGCTGCCCTGCTTCTGGGCCATTTGTAATTTTCCCAATTCCCTCTTTGTGGCACCCGACCACATGACTGGGCAGTAGTCCATGTGCGACAAAACTAGGGCCTGTAGGACCTGCCTTGTTGATATTGTTGTTAAGAAGGCAGAGTAGCGGTTTATTATGGACAGACCTTTCCCCATCTTAGCTACTGTTGTATCAATATGTTTTGACCATAACAGTTTACAATCCAGGGTTACTCCAATCAGATTAGTCTCCTCAACTTGCTCAATTTCCACATTATTCATTACAAGATTTAGTTGAGATTTAGGGTTTAGTGAATGATTTGTCCCAAATATAATCTTTTTCGTTTTTGAAATATTTAGGACTAACTTATTTCTTGCCACTCATTCTGAAACTGACTGCAGCTCTTTGTTAAGTATTGCAGTGATTTCACTCGATGTAGTAGCTGGCGTGTCTAGTGTTGAGTCATCCACATACATAGACACACAGGCTTTACTCAGAGCCAGTGGCAGGTCATTAGTAAAGATTTTAAAAAGTAAGGGGCCTAGACAGCTGCCCTCAGGAATTCTTGATTCTACCTGGATTATGTTGTAGAGGCTACCATTAAAGAACACTGTGTTCTATTTGACAGGTAAATCTCAATCCACAATATAGCAGGGGGTGTAAAGCCATAAACAGTGCATTCGGAAAGTATTCAGACCCCTTGACTTTTTCCACATTTTGTTACATTGCAGCCTGATTCTAAAATGGATTAAATAAAAAATGATCCTCATCAATCTACACACAATACCCCATAATGACAAAGCGAAAACAGGTTTTTAAAATACAAAACAGAAATACCTTATTTAGATAAGTATTCATACCATTTGCTATGAGACTCGAAATTGAGCTCAGGTGCATCCTGTTTCCAATGATCATCCTTGTAGATGTTTCTACAACTTGATTGGAGTCCACCTGTGGTAAATTCAATTGATTGGACATGATTTGGAAAGGCACACACCTGTCTATATAAGGTCCCACAGTTGACAATCCATGTCAGAGCAAAAACCAAGCCATGAGGTCGAAGAAATTGTCCGTAGAGCTCTGAGACAGGATTGTGTCGAGGCACAGATCTGGGTAAGGGTACCAAAAAATGTCTGCAGCACTGAAGTTCCCCAAGAACACAGTGGCCTCCTTCATTCTTAAATGGAAGAAGTTTGGAACCACCAAGACTCTTCCTAGAGCTAGCCACCCGATCAAAGTGAGCAATCGGCGGAGAAGAGCCTTGGTCAGGGAAGTGACCAAGAACCTGATGGTCACTCTGACAGAACTCCAGAGGTCCTCTGTGGAGATGGGAGAACCTTCCAGAAGAACAACCATCTCTGCAGCACTCTACCAATCAGGCCTTTATGGTAGAGTGGCCAGACGGAAGCCACTCTTCTCTAAAAGGCACATGACAGCCCGCTTGGAGTTTGCCAAAATGCACATGAAGGACTCAGACCATGAGAAACAAGATTCTCTGGTCTGATGAAACCAATATTGAACTCTTTGGCCTGAATGCCAAGCGTCACGTCTGGAGGAAACCTGGCACCATCCCTACAGTGAAGCATGGTGGGGGCAGCATCATGCTGTGGGGATGTTTTTCAGCAGCAGGGACTGGGAGATTAGTCAGGATCGTGGGAAAGATGAATGGAGCAAAGTACAGAGAGATCCTTGATGAAAACCTGCTCCAGAGCGCTCGGGACCTCAGAGTGGGGCGAAGGTTCAACTTCCAACAGGACAACAACCCTAAGCACACAGCCAAGACAATGCAGGAGTGGCTTCGGGACAAGTCTCTGAATGTCCTTGAATGGCCCAGCCGGAGCCCAGACTTGAACACGATCAAACATCTCTGGAGAGACCTGAAAATAGCTGTGCAGCGATGCTCCCCATCCAACCTGACAGAGCTTGAGAGGATCTGCAGAGAAGAATGGGAGAAACTCCCCAAATACAGGTGTGCCAAGCTTGTAGTGTCATACCCAAGAAGACTCGAGGCTGTAATCGCTGCCTAAGGTGCTTCAACAAAGTAATGAGGAAAGGGTCTGAATAATTATGTAAATGTACTATTTCCGTTTTTTATTTTTAATACATTTGCAAAAATGTCAAAAAACCTGTTTTAATTTTGTCATTATGGGGTATTTTGTGTAGATTGAAGAGGGAAAAAAACTATTGAATACATTTTAGAATAAGGCTGTAACGTAACAAAATGTGGAAAAGTCAAGGGGTCTGAATTCTTTCCGAATGCACTGTATAGGTTTTTTTTCAGCAGCATACTATGATCGATAATGTCAAAAGCCACACTGGAGTCTAACAAAACAACTCTCACAATCTTTTTATTATCAATTTCATTCAGCCAATCATCAGTCATTTGTGTAAGTGCTGTGCATGTTGAATGCCCTTCCCTATTAGCGTGATGAAAGTCTGTTGTTAATTTATTTACTGTAAAATAGCATTGTATCTGGTCAAACACAATTTTTTACAAAAGTTTACTAAGGGTTGGTGACAGGCTGATTGGTCAGCTATTTGACCCAGTAAAGGGTGCTTTACTATTCTTGGGTAGCAGAATGCTTCCCTCCAGGCCTGAGGGCACACACTTTTTTGTAAACTTAGATTGAAGAGATGGCAAGTAGGAGCAATATCGTCAATATCATCCTCATTAATTTTCCATCCAAGTTGTTAAACATAGGTGGCTTGTCATTGTTGATAGACAACAATAATGTTTTAACCTCTTCCACACTCACTTTACGGAATTCAAAATTACAATGCTTGTCTTTCATAATTTGGTCAGTTATACTTGGATGTGTAGGTCAGGCATTTGTTGCTGGCATGTCATGCCTAAGTTTGCTAATCTTGCCAATGAAAAATCATTAAAGTAGTTGGCAATATCAGTGGGTTTTGTGATGAATGAGCCACCTGATTCAATGAATGATGGAGCTGAGTTTGCCTTTTTGCCCATAATTTCATTTAATGTGCTCCAAATATTTTTACTATCATTCTTTATGTCATTTATATTTGTTTCGTAGTATAGTTTCTTCTTCTTTTTATTCAGTTTAGTCACATGATTTCTCAATTTGCAGTACGTTTGCCAATCGGTTGTGCAGCCAGACTTATTTGCCATTCCTTTTTCCTTATCCCTCTCAACCATAACATTTTTCAATTCCTCATCAATCCACAGGGATTTAACAGTTTTTACAGTCATTTTCTTAATGGGTGCATGCTTATTAGTAACTGGAGTAAGCAATTTCATAAATGTGTGAAGTGCAGCGTCTGATTGCTCCTCGTTACACACCACGGACCAACATATATTCTTTACATCAACAACATAGGAATCACTACAAAACCTCTTGTAGGACCTCTTATACACAATATTAGGTCTAGCCTTTGGACCTTTGATTTTCTTAGATATGGCTACCATATTGTGATCACTAAATCCGATGGATTTGGATACTGCTTTAAAGCAGATTTCTGCAGCATTAGTTAAAATGTGATCAATAGATGTGGATGATTTCATTCCTGTGCTGTTTGTAAATACCCTGGTAGGTTGACTGATAACCTGAACCAGGTTGCAGGCACTGGTTACAGTTTGAAGCTTTTTCTTGAGTGGGCAGCTTGATGAAAGCCAGTCAATATTTAGGTCACCCAGAAAATACAGCTGAGTGGCTACCCCAAACTGCATGATAACACTGCCTAAAACTTGTTGATTCATCACCATGGTCATTTTCTGTGCAGTATTTGGCTGCTCTAACAAGGCAGGAAAACAACCACACTTTCTGGACCAGACCCCTTGGTGTACCAGGATTCAGAGCCTGGGAGTTTTGGAGCTGGGCCATGTCCTTATCGGTGATGGGAGTGTGGCTGTTTGTGATATATTTTCCTTGCCTTCTTAGCTGTTTGATGTTGCCCAGAAATACTGTACATGAGGTGGTAAATACAGTGTCCTTCATAAGGCACCAGCTGCGACCGATGGGTGGGTCATTTAGAAACCGGTTGAGCCCACTCCGGAGTGCCAGGTAGCTAATTATCCTGTACTGCTCCCCCTTCCCATTTCGTACATTTCCATAAAACTGTCGGAGAAGGATGTTAAACTCTTCCTTAGTGACAGTTTTGAAGTCAACAACTTTTTTATTCTCTGCTAGCCAGCCCTCGAAGCACCGCACAGCCCAGTTTGTATTCTTAACTGGTTTTTTTCGTTGCTGCTTTTCTCTAGGTCATTCAATGCAGGATCCCCCAAATCTGCATGCCTGGGTATTATTGGCATCTCGTTTTCCCATTCATCCATAGTCATGCCGCCGAAAAGATCAAAATAAATGTTCCACTCATCCATTTGAGTTTTCGCAAACAAAGTATCGATTTAGCCAGTCAACTGAAAAAAAGTTGTGTATGTTACTATGACAACGAGCTCAATTTGCTGTCTGTCTCGTTCGGACACATTCACTTAATATGGGACGGTGTAGATCGCAATTCAATATTGAAAAGGTCGGAGAGACAGGCAGCAAGGTTTATACAAAACTCTGTTGTTGAAAACCAAATGCTAGTCTAAAAGAAATGGGAGATAATGTCTTGATGCTTAGTGGAGATCAAGTTTATTATAAAGAATTGTTGGAGGTAGGTAAAACATTTTTATAAAATAAATATTAAAACAAATAAGTATCTGGTTACTAGTTAAAGTAAGCATGGCGCTACAGAGGTGCACCTGTTAGTTGTTTTCCTTAACTTTTGCACCCTCTCAGACATGGAGTTCCTGGAGGTCCTGACTGAAGGTCTCAACAGGGTTCTCCTGGTTCGCGGTGGCGGTCGCGAGGTCATCACCATCTACTCTTGAGAGAGCAGCCCCCCCCCCCCCCCCCCCCAAATCCCTTCATCCCCACTTCTACACAGATCCCCCCTTCCATTTGTTTCTGTAAGACACTCCCCTCACACCCAAGCAATACCCCATCTCACCTTGCCTCTCTTCACTCTATCTTCTGTTTTGCCTTAAAACACACACACACGGTCTATTCAGACTAGTAGGATGCCAACTATTTAGATTACCTCACACACTTTAGAGCCTTTTCTGGTCCTATAGGATGTCAGAGGTAGCCTCTTTTAGCTTCATATCCAGACCACATATCATCTAGAGCAGATGGCTCAGAGACTTCGCCTCCCCCTCTCCATGGCCCAAATAACCTAGAAAGAAAAGGTTTTGTCCACTTCCAATTCACCCAGCAAGATTATCAATCAGTAATCTGAAATGAAATAGCGTGAAATACTGCCCTCTGCTGATTGTAGGTAGGCGTCACTGTCCAATTCCACCCCCTTTGTGCTGTTGATATCTGCCTATTGGTCAATCCACTGGTCACTCGGCTATGGAGTCAAGGATACAGAGGGTTAGGTGAGCTGGGTTGTTCAGTGTGATGTGTGTGCCTGTGTGTGTGTTTAAGGCTGTGTTTACACAGGCAGCCCAATTCTGATCTTTTCTTCACTAATTGGTATTTTGACCAATCAGATCAGCTCTGAAAAAGATCTGATGTGAAAAGATCTGATGTGATTGGTCAAAAGACCAATTATTGGAAAAAATATCAGAATTGGGCTACCTGTGTAAACGCAGCCTAAGTGTCTCATTCATCCGATTGTGGTTAGTTTTTTTCGAGGGGATGTTTTAGAGTGCCATCGATTTGGAGTCACCTACCTGTCAACATGGAGTAGCCTACCGCAAGACTGAACAGTGGTCAGTGGAGAACTGAGGACGTTGACGTTGTGTAGCTAGTCGTTTATATGACCCTGCAAAACCACAGCGAAGAGAGAATATCAAAAAACTCCTATGGGAAACCCTGTTCATTAAGTGCGGAGATGACCACAGTCGAGAAAGACTGCTACCCACGGTCATGGTCGGTGGTTTGAAGAGAACGTGGTCATTATTTTAATCAGGGTAAGTCGTGAACGAAGGAACAAAGGTTGGAGGAAGATGGGAGAGAAACAAACAAGCCTCCGTGATGACATAGATCGTGCTCTATGAACTTTGACCTCATCTTGAGTACTCTGCAACATGTCGTCCTCATGTCGCTGTACTTTGTTTTTGCTCTCGCACTGTCATCATATTAATACTTGTCCCCTTTCCCCCTTTCTAAGTGGCTATGACCCCCTTCTAGCTCCAGCCACTGTTAGTGCCAAAAACAACAAGGCTAGTTTGGTTTTAGATATTGATACATTGTTAAACTGTGAGGATCATTCTTAGCAGAAAGGTCGTCTGACAGAAAAGCAGGGGCTCTTTCTCAATTGTCTTTCCTTGACTCCTACCATCCCCTTTGCTCGTCTCCTTGGACCGAGGAGAGACAAAGAATCGAGGAAAGACAATTGAAAAAGAGCCCCTGCTCTTCTGTCAGACGACCTTTCCGCTAAGAACAAGAAACGAAAAATAGCCAGGGATAGATTATGAGCAGTGACTTCATCATTGTCAGACAGCCACACCCCTTGACCCCAGTGTGGATCACTGTAAATAGTGTAAAAGCTCTGACGTGTGTTGTTAATTATGAGTATAGTGTTTTTGTGACTTACTAAAAAGCTTATAGTGGAGAAAATGTTCCTTCTCTCAAAGGGTCGGCTCAAAACTGCTTTTGGATTGCTTAGGCTCCTATCACTATGTAACTATCACTGTATCCTTGACGAGTACTGCACCTGCACTGTCCGCCACTGTGCAACAAGTGATTTAATGAATTTACCAGTTCATTAAATGAACATATGTTATTTTTCCACCTAGAAAACAAAATGTTGTTTCTTATGTTTATAGACAAAAGTTATACATATTTATATAATAGAGATATCATTTAAATGATCGCAAAAAAATATTATGTTGTTTTGCCAAATTTAGATATGTTTACATGTGCCATATAAAAAAATATTTTTTAAATGAAATAGATCTATGAAAGTCTAATATTGATTAAATTACAGAGCACAAATTGTGCATTAGGTTGAAGGGTTAGCGTGCAATTGACTAGTAATAACTATAAAGTGATGGAATGGAAAAGGGTTACACAGCTATTAACCTCACCCCATCCGTAACACTGAACTCTATGCAGTATAATCCAAATATGTGATTTCGTATCCACAAAATTGGCACAGATTTGAGCCAATATGTATGTCCCTGACAATGAATGGATTATTAGCTAATTAGAACAAAGACGTATAAAGTGCATTTTGAAAGAAATAGCTTAAATTTGGTCTCACATATTCATGTTATAAATTTTTTTACTCATCTATTTTGTATGTAGATTTCGTATGTCTAAGGAATTTATTAATATCTCACACTGACCAAGGACAACTATCATCATGTATTTATTTTGTGTTTTGAAAGTCAGTTGCACTTGTAGCTGAACTATGAATATAAATATATACATATATACAATAGAGGAATCAAAACAACCAATGAAACTAGTTTATAGAGCTGTTGAAACCAGTATTTATGTTTAAAGTGTTGTTTGAAACTCAGACTCATATGTTGTGAATTCTGCTAGTATTATTAGATTTATTTGTACTGTAAATTAACATGTCTAAAGGAACATACAAAGAATATCAGAAAAGGGGTAGGCATATATAGAAATACATATCAATGCTGGTGGTTTGTCTCCTCCATGACTTGACCTGGCTTTACCTATTAACTATTGGCCTGAGAGTCTTTCTGGACAGGAGTCATTTTCAGCTTTGGAAGAGAACTCTCCTGAATATATTACACAGTATCTTGAGGCAATACTTATACCATTAGGGTGCAATTTGTTTGGGGGTCCGGGGCAGTTCCCCCCTGTGCTTTTTTCCTCTTTTCACAAATGGCACTCTTGATTATTCCATCCTCTTAAATCCACATTTATTCTAGAGAAACTCTGAGCCCAGACTACAAGTTTGAAAGTTTTATCGAGTTGAATTGACAACAATAGTGCAATAAAGTGTTAACTGTAATTCACTGGTAGTTCTCTGCCAGTTACATCAGATCTCTTACTAGAGCAAACTCTAGCTACTGGCCTAGCCACTGCTAGTTTATACATATGGCCAATATATGACTACAACCATATGACGCTCTACTATTACAAAATTTGATTAATAGACACTCATATCAACTTTCAAAATACGTGGCTATTTTGGGATTTTACTATAACATTGCCTGCATTGACTGAGCCTTTAATCTATTTATAAAGGAAAGATCTCAGATGTTGGTGAAAAAAAGGATTTATGGGAAATGAGTTTGTTTGAATTTCCAATGTGTTTTATAGTTACTGTTTGCATGGTCTTATGTGGAAATATTTGTTTCAGTGGTATATGGTGTGATGACTTATATGTACAAGGCAAGTGGTTTGGAAGGGGAGTGTCCTCCATCTACACTAGGGCTCACTTTGGGGGTCTGTGATTAAGCTACATGACGTTGCTTTGGTCACAGACGAGAACCTGAGAATGATTGCCTCATGGTTACATAGTTAGACATTGAAAACAAGTATTTTGCAAAAAAAAAGTATGAGTTCACAATATTGTTGTCAATCTTGCTAAATTAATGTTGCGTAACGTAATATGAGCTTATGAGTTGAATGGATGGGCCTGAGAGATGTTCCTTTTGCTTTGTATATAACACTGCAGTCAAAAACTCTGTAGCCTACGGCGATGTTTGTTGTCCTTTGTTGTACATTGTTTTATCACTGTGGACAAAGTCTTAGCGTTTTGTAAGATTATGTGCAATATTGTTTCTCACTTGCCGAATCATTTTTCATTTGGTTGTATAACATTGTTGTTTTTCATTGGAACACATTAACAACTGACAATTTGGCGGTGTGCTCATCAGAATGTTTAGAGCCAGGTCTTATGGACCATAAAGTTATTTTGTGTTCATCTCCTCTGTGGTGGCTGAGACAGAAAAGCACTTTATCCAGAGCTAATACTCGTTGTGATTGAAGGTTTGAGGACATAATCAGTGTTTAATAAAAACAAACTTGCCCAGTTTAAGCACCGATTCATAGCTTCCTCTGGTGGTATGAGTGTGTACTGCAGCCAGTTGGAGTAAGATCTGGGAGATGTGAGCGGGATAGCTAGATCAGATCTCGCCATTACTCTGCAGTTTTTCACTGCAATTATATACTAACTATTCATTTAATTTTCATCCTATCACTTTAAGTAAGTGCCAGGACAGTTTTGGCATGCAGTAAAACTATTTTGTTATTTTTATTTTCTCCAATTGTTTTGGAAAGAATCACAGTATATGGTTGATTTAGAGTATGTGTCACTGAATCTATGTGGTTGAGCCTCCCTCAAACCACAAATCCACCCCAACCCACCCTTATCTACCCCCTGTCACAAATCTCCACCCCAGCACCGTACCTATACGTATGTGATTGCAGTATAATTCTGAATATTGAATCAAAGAATAGAAAACAAGCGCTTCCACTTCTGGTACTGGCTCTGCTTGGACGGCATAAGGGTAACTCGGGAGCACCAACACAGATCTATCTGTCTCATCTAGGGCAGATTCACGAAACACCCCTAAATCTGACCGGTCGCCTGCACAATTGTAGCATGAGATGAATCCGCTGGTGATCATTGTGAATTATTCTCCATCCTCAAATGGATATTAAGGGATCTGAAACGTATCTGCTCCTGAGTTGAAGAGGTTGTCTCTTCGAGAGGACACTCGGACACAAAAAAAACTACGAAAGAAAGAAACCACATTGAGTTTTGGAGTGCCTCACCATAACCATGGTTTTAGTCAACAAGACTGAACTGTTATCCCCTCAACCTCATAGTCATAGCCTAACTGTCACCTACTTATTCCGAACTAATCGTGTTTATACACTTCAAATTGATGATTGT